CTATCTTGTTCACCAGTTTTCTATGTAAGAGGAGGTTATAGTAAAATTTTTACTGCTGTAAATTAATCATAAATATTGAAGTTAACAGGAGTCTATTCAAATAGACCACACAGATAATTCGTACATCAGAGGAGGGAGTAAAATGCTCTACCTCCTTCTACAATTAAAATAATGATCAGAAGGGCTCATTTTGGAGGAGTGGACAAAATGCTTTAAAGACTCAAGCTGTTTCAGTCTTTCACTTGAGAAAACTAAAGCCCTGATCATTTGCAGTTATTAGAATTTCTCTTTTAGCAAGAGAGGGTTAATAACTCCCATGTCCTGGCCAAATTGCTATTGGACTGTTACAGTCTGCCTCTCTATGTGCCTCTATGTAGTTTGAGCTGTTTTACGATCTGTCCTTAACTGTCCGAACAGTTTAACAGCTGTAACATCTCATCCCAGAGGTGGCTGCATTTCAATTGTATGTGAAGTGATCCCTAGATATCATTGGTTAGTAAAACAGTCTGTGGTGAAAGGCACTAAAAGCAAGTTATAACAACTCTTTAGAAAGTCAGCAGCAAGAGATAGTTCATGTAACCTAGTGTCTGCTTTATTATCTATTTTCAAGGCCCCAACCCCAGTGCCAACGTATGTGGAGATTGAACATGTGATATCCCAAGGCTTGCTACACCGAGGAGGGCAGATTCATGGGGCACTGCCTGTCACTTCCGGGGAGCGCTGGAACCTCATTATATGGATGAGATCGTCTGCTGTCCGCAACCAGCTTTGCCCCATGTGCAACAAGAAACCTGAATTAGTGGATGCTGAGGGGTTTGGAGATGGGTTCACAAGAAGTTCTGAAGGTGACATGCCGAAGACTGTGGATTTATGCTCGTTAATATAGGAGATGGTAAGGAGTGAATTCTCCATTCTGAGCTGACTAAAACTGAGCTCCAAGCCCCAAGCCAGCAGAAATAAGCACAGTATCCCTTTGACAGAAACATGTCAGGTCAACAAATAGCTTCTTAGAAGGCAACTCAAAAACTGTTCTCTTGGGGCGAGGGAAAACAGCTTTTTGAGCAGCAGCTGCCATCTGGGGTCTACTGGAGAAGTTGGTGTCTGGGGTAGACAATGCCTGCACTCTGAGAATTTTTTATAAGCATATTTTGAAAATGTAAAAAGGCTTAAGGTATTGATCTATACCATGAACTGCAGAGGTCATCTGAGTACAATCACACGTATAGAAAACAGAAGGACTGCTTACGTCTTATACAAAGAGAGCTGTTCTGACAGCCACTGTTACTGGTTGATGTATAAAGATAGCATATTATTGTATAATTCTTTTATGTCAGTCAGCATCCATTCACAATTACCACTGCCCTCTTCTGGATGCAATATCAAACTTCACTAGGGTAAGAGCCTGCTGCTTCCCAGTGGATGGAAGGCAAGACCCACTCAGAATGTGACAGAGTTGTCCCCTAGGGGCTAAAACAAGCAACTTTGTGATCAAGTTGCTTCCAATGGCTGCATCTTACAAGACAAGCATAAACCCTGTTACTCTACAAGTGAGTGTAGTGAGTCACTTATTGCCTTACATTATAACCCCAGACTGAGAGCGCTAAAAATCACTTTTTAAAGATATTGTGGATTCCACATACACAAGCAGAAATCTGCTGTAGAGCCAAGGATTTGGGGGGCTGTTTGCAATTTATGACAACACGTCTCTCGGGTGTAAGGAAAGAGCATGCAGAAGTAGTCTAAACGTTTGTAATCACCTTCCATTAGGTATGAGAATATCCTTCCAAGATGGGCAGACAGAATAAACTATCTTCAAGGGAAGAGTGGACATTCTAGTCTTACATGACCAATGCAATCTTTTGAATTCTTTAATTTGGCACGAAGATCCCGCTATGATGAGAGAGTGAGATTAGATAGTCACACACATTATCTGTCTCAGTGCCTGTTAGTCCATGACATTAATTCAAAACTTCAAGTCACAGACTCTAAAAATCTAGAAAACTGATATTCAAGAAGCCAAAATATCCTTTTGATTTTGTTGCCTCATATGACTCCCCAGAAAACTAGATGTCTATTAGCTACCCATACCACTGACTTTACTGGAGGCTTCTTCAGATCATTCATTTTAACTCTGGTAATTACTTGGTATGAGCTTTCTCATTTGCATAATTAACAATATGATGAAAGGCAGACTCTGAATATAACCACTGTAGTTTATGAAGAGTGTTCATTTTAAGCATTCCCAATAGATCCCGAAGTGCTTTGGGCTTGACATCTCATTAGCGTATGCTGCTGATTAGTTTGCATTTGAAAAACGCCTTCAAATTGCATTTTGAAAGTGAAATGGCCATTACACTTGTGCACAAAACCCCAGAATCAGCACCAAAGGATTTTGCTTCTGCTGTTTTCCATAACAACAAAATCAATCACGGAATCTGAATTTCTTCATCAGGAAATGTTTGTTTCATATTTGCATTTAAATTATACCAAGAAAATTAAATTAATGAAAGAAAAATGTGCCTGTCAATATGGCTGCTGCCGTCTGAATACTATTATAGTGAATTCAGATTGTAAATGACTGACTGTAAAGAAAAGGCTCCGGGATAGACAAGAATAATCTCTCTCCTCTGTCATCTAGGCATTAAAGCAGGAGCGTGGGAGTCTCTGGCATTCACTCACTGAGTCATCGTGGGTATGGCAACTCTGTGCCTCAGTTTCCCCATGTGTAAAATTACGATGATACTGTTCTTATCTAACATGTATTCAAAGCTAAATTCATTAATTCGTGTGAGGCACTTGCATGTTCTCTGGAGGAGGAAAATAAATCAGATCTCTGATGAGCTTTTAGCTGGTTAAGTCTTTGAGGTAGAACAGCAGAAAGCAGAATACAGGAGGACCCTCTAAGAGAGAAAGCAGTAGGCTGTGTATGTCAAGGACAGCCGTAACAATAGAGCAAGGGATCTCTACCTGGGCGTCATCAATGGATACTCCTCTTACTGACCTTGACCAGCAACCCACCTGAACGTCACTTCAATTCCAGAGATCATTCTGAATTGCACAGGGAAAACCAACCCCTTCAAGACAGCGATAGAGGAGAAGGAAAATTTTCTTTGGCTTTTGCTCCAATGCCTCTTCTTCAGTGAGACTTTTGCCTGCAACAGACTAACAAGACGAACTTGCCTAACCCAGCAGATAGGAATGCCTTGGTTATCAGATGCCTGACATACTAAACTCTGCTCCTCAAAGTTAAGGAGGAAAGCATTGCAGACCAGGGCAAATACATGCATTGTCCATATGACAAATACACCCTAATTCTAACAAATCAGAACCATTAAGCAAATGGGGATCATAAACTGCTATTCACCTACAGAAAGTGGAAGAGGGAAAATGGCAGTGTCATTAATTTCTGCTTCAGCAGAGTGTTCTAACACAAATTGCAGTCATCCATAACCAGTGTAACTTCCAGTGTCTGGAAAAGCCCAGAAGGGTTTTGGGCTCAAAACAAAAACAGTCAAGCTGCCAAAGAAGCTGCACGAGGCTGAGGTTGGAATTGTTCACCAGGAAGATGATGACATTGGAAATAGTTTGGAGTACTAGGAAAAATATAAGATCAGCACACGGCTGCTTGTTGAGAATTTTTTGTATTTTTGCTGCATCCGTTTCTTACAAGTTCACTCTGTCTCTGGATGGAACACAGAATTTGGGGGACACAAGGGAAAAAATAACTCGCCAAGAACCATGAGGGAGACTGTAAATGTCTCATTATTCAGAGTGTAAACTCTTCAAAGGGTCAGGGTCTGTCTACTACTCTGAACAGTGCGTAGCACAACAGGGCTCCACTCCCACTCCTTAGGCACTACCTTATCTTAGTTCCTCTAGTGCCACTGACCCATCAGGCAGTCTGGTTCCTCCATTGATTATGATCACTCGCTAGTTGTGTACCGTGGAACCATAGCGTTATGAACACCAGAGTTATGAACTGACCAGTCAGCCACACACCTCATTTGGACTAGAAGTATGCAGTCAAACAGCAGCAGAGACCAAAAAAGTACTCGCAAAAAGAAAAGGAGTACTTGTGGCACCTTAGAGACTAACAAATTTATTTGAGCATAAGCTTTCGTGAGCTACAGCTCACTTCATCGGATGCATTCAGTGGAAAATACAGGGGGGAGATTTATATTCATAGAGAAGTTTCAAAGCTGTATTAAGTCAATGTTCAGTTGTAAAATTTTGAAAGAACAACCATAACATTTTGATCAGTTACATTCCCGAGGTGTTCCTAACTCTGAGGTGCTTGTGTACTTCCCCCCTCCTGCCATTATGCCAGAGTATTCAATATCCTCTGTCATTGTCTTCTGCCAGTTCTTCCTTGCGTTCTCTTTCCTACCTCAGGTACCCAATTCAATGCTGGGTTAGCACCTTTCCAATCTTTCATATGGTCTACGTGTCACAACCACCTGAGCCGCCTTTATTTTTATGATAGTTTCTAGCGGGTCCTGCTGTGTCAGCTTCCCTACTTTCAGATTTGTTATTTTGTCTTTCCCTGAAATGTGTAGCCAAAGCTGGGGAAGAGAAGCCCGCGATCTGAGCGGCATGATGCGAAGAAAAGCTCTGTGTAGCTGGAAAGCTTCTCTCTCTCACCAACAAAAGTAGGTCCAATAAAAGATATTCCCTCACCCACCTGGTCTCATCGCCACAAAGCACAGGCAGCATGAGCCCCCAGCCCCGTCTCCTCCCTGCTGCAGCCCCCTGGTCCGCAGGGCACAGCCAGCCCGTCTCTCACCAACATGTGGGCTCCCCTATCACCCCGAGAGGGAGACTCTACACCCTGTCATGGGAAGAGGCCCTTCCCACTGCGGGCTGACCCCAGCCGGGCTCAGTGGGGCACAGCAGCCGGTAAACGCCTCCCTCGGGCTGAGCCCTGGTTCCCCAGCGCAGATACAGCTGGGGTAGGAACCAATATGCGCGGGGTCTGTGCTTTCCCACCGGACCCACAGAACCACGCACAAAATACCGGAAGTGGGCGAGGCAACGAACGGAAACCAACCGAAGTGACCCGTTCCCGGGGTCGTTCAGCGACAGACGCCGGGGCTGGGCCTCCCCCTCCAGCGCGCGCGGGGCAGGCCGCTTGTTCGCGCCTCCCACCCCCGAGGGTGAGTCCCTTACCTGCGGCGGCCTGTCTCTGGGCGGGAGGGGGACGGACACTCGCGGGAGGAATAAGGGGCGAGATTGGGTCCGCAAAGCCTTCAGCGGCCGACATCGGGGCGCATGCGCGGTGCTGTCCGGGGACGGACTGTATCTAGCAGGAGTGGAGGAGAAGGGGGAGAGTCTTAAAGAGCCAGCCACCTGCTGTGTGTCTTAAAGGGCCATTACCCACTGTGTCAGAGTGTGGGTGGGTGGGGCAGGGTTTAGGCACCCCGTCTGTGAACTGGGCATAAAAGCACTTGCTCTGCCTTGTAAAGCACTGGGAGCTACTGATGAAAAGTACAGGGGTGGGTGTGTGAATGTAGGACTGCTGAGCTGTATGATCCTGCAGACCTTGCAGAGATAGTCCCCTTGACATCAGTGGAACTACGCTGGGAGTAAAGATTTCTCCCCACTAAAGGTTGCAGGAGTGGGCTTCCGTTCTTCACTCTGTCTTGCACACAAGCTGTATTGCCAGCTTTGCCGCGTTAAATGTAAAAGAGCTGAAAGAGAGAGAAATTAGGAAATGTGTACGGGGGGAAGAGAGATGATCTCAACTGATTTGTGAAAGGAGTGGGCGAGTGGGTGGAGATATAGGAAGGGAGAGAGAAAAAAGTGATGTGTATATGCAGCTGTTTTAAGATACTGAATAGTTTGGACTAATCTACTTCTTCAACCTAAATCACTTCAAAATAAATCTGATTCCATTATTTTAGGCTGAGGTCTATGGGTGTGGTTAGTGTGTTGAACAAACACTAAAAGAGGGCACGAAACATTTTCACCATTGTAAAGTTGTGTCTGCCCATGCACCATTACAGCTTGCTATTTTGGACTAGTGTCTAGGACAGTGATACTCAGACAGAGGCTCGGGAGCCACAATTTGCTTTTCAGTGTGTCTCCTGCAGCTCTTTGCAGCACATATTAAAACACTGTGATTTAATTATTAACCAATCAGGATGCTTTTACTGTGTTATTTTATCAGCTGGTTAATAATAATAATAATAACTGGTTAATAATACTTGGTCAGTCATTTTGCTGTGAGAATTTTGTGTGTGTGTGTATGAGAGAGAGAGAGAGAGTGTAAATGAAACAAGGAATTCATACTACTGTGGTGCTCTTGGGTAATGTTGATCAGTAATTTGGCTCCTGAACCACTGCGGTCCAAGTATCACTGGTCTAAGATCTAGTGACTTGTTCTCTAGCATGATGTGTCTAAACGATTCCACTCTGGCTTTTGAGACTGCTGAGACCTCTCTGCAGGTGGGAAAACATTGTCAGTCCTTATTGTAAACGTCATTAGCCTGATTCAGACTCCCAAACAAACACACATCCAGCTTCTCTAGCAGGCCCTGAAAAACTTGGCTCTTTATTTCCCCCCATTTATCTAAGGGCAAAATCAAATGCCTGTTTGGAAAGAAAAGGCATTGTTTAATGTCAGCTTTCATTTACATTCACACAGGCAATACAGAGAAAATGCAGCTCAGGGAAATAACCATATACAGTCTGGCCTGAGCCATGAATCTGTGGACTTTATCACTGGAATTCTTATAGAATCAGCTCCTGCACTTTTGTCCACACTAGCTAATTGTACAGGATTGTGTATGTTGTGTATCTGAGATCAGAATAGTGCTTCTACGGCTATCTGTGTCTTCAAGGACCTAGTGAAAGAGATTTCTGTATTTTTGTATACATATGGACGCATATATTTGGTGTGTGTATTGATGGATCTGATTCCTTGCAGCTTTACTACTATGTGTCCTTAAAGCAAATCTTTTGTTGCTTTTTATTGAGGCTTTCATTTGTAAATCAATTTGAACTTGAGATTCACTTGTATGTATCTTGGATTATCTTGTTTTGAACTTGTGTGGTAGAGACAGGATTAATATATTAGCCACGAAATATCTGATATGCGAGAGCTTTTCCCGGCTACAATTATGCTGTTGATGCTAGGCTTTTGTTTTTCTTTTTAAACGAATGAGAGCTTGTCTCTTATCATAGATGGGTTTGCCCTTATATTCCACTGCCAGTGTTTTGGACTGATTGAAAAAGGTGCCAGTTTAGCATGTAATCTCTTTTATAAAAGTAAATTGAAATATTAAAAATTCATTATTTTCCCTTAGCTAGCGGCTGCTGTCAGTATTTTAAATAAACCGGTAATTGATTCTTCTTTGTTCAGTTCTGAATGGAATTTTTAATGCTGCTGACAGCTGTGGCAGTGTTCATCATACGATGTCTGGGTCCATGGGGCCATAAAGAGCATGTGACACTCCTGCTAACAGTAATGGGGCAATACAGAGGCATTGATTAGAAAGTAGAACCCCTAGCTCTTAAATCCTGAGAAGGATGAAAAATGATCAGAGAATATACAGTACTAAAGTGTGTTTATCACCACCCTCTGCTGAATCGTCACAGCTGTGAAACTGTGTGTAACAGTAGCTACTGCTGACATTTAAAAGAAAGGGGGAAGAGAGTGTGGTGGAAGTCTCATGCCAAATCTAATCAAAGGCGGCTGGTCGGGAGGCATAGAAGAGTTGCCTAAATGTTTTGTAGTGCAAAGAAAAACAGCATTTGAAAGATCCTCTCATGGAGCCATTCCCTTCAGCTCTCTGTTCCTCACACCTTCGTGCTTTATTTTGCGGACTACGGGGAAGGTCTCAGTGAACCCAGCCTGGCCACTGCTATGTAGCGGAGTAACCCTCTGGGCAGTTGTCAAAGTTTCACATATAGTTTCGGGAGAAAAGTTGGCTGTAAATTGAGTCTAATGTAACAAGCTAACCCTGTCTTCAGCAACTACTTAATGTGCAAAGGCCTCCCCCCTGATTCTGTGGAGCAGAATTGGAATTGCTGTGTTTAGGGATACTTTGGGACAGTCTCCTTACATGGAATTAAGTTTCACTGTCCTTTATTAATACCATTAATGAAAGAAAAATGAATTGTTTAAAATAGGAATCAAAGCACAATGGTTCACAGCCAATCCAGGAAACGCTCCCAAAGCAGGAGTGAAAGCGATTCTCAAAGCAGGCAGGACAAAAAGGATGAAAAGAAAAGAAGAAAAAGCAGTAAAGACTCAAAGAAGAGCAGCCAGTCTCCTCCAAGGAAGAAGGCAGCCAGGTCTCACAGATGCAGGTCGAGCTCAGCTTCTACTAAAGAAGGTAAGGGCAGGTGGGGGTGATAGCTACTGCTGAGGGCTGACTTCTCACATGGTCAGGGGGCATATGCACAGTGAGTACCATTGTGGGAATACACAATGCTTGCTTTTAGCAATTAACTTTATACAGTCATCTCAACACACACTTCATACTCATTACTCTTGTGTTCTGACATCTCTAGAGCCTTAAACATTTCCAGCATGCAGATCTTTTAGCATTGTGCCTGTCACAGATCCATTCAGGCACCCCTCGCTGACCATCCCCGTGAGGAAAATCCAAGCCGCCTCTGGGTTGTATAGTCCCTGGGTAGGATGAGCCTCGAGGGCCTGAATGGAGTCCAGCCCCTGCCCCAGTCTTGGGATAACTAGGCATACAGGAGGGGTGCTGACTGGATCAGGGACAGTGCTCAGTTAGCCCCCTCCCACCATGATAATACAGAAGTATTAGCCCAGTGGGATTTTGCTGTGGCGTTAGTGTTTTGATTTGTTCAGTCTTCTGAGCAACCTAACAAAGAACAAAACCAGAACAGCAGACTGTTGTAGCTTGAAATGCAGAACATGACAGACTCTTTGGGTGCCATGGAGCAAATGTTCTCTCCAAACCACCCCATTCTTAATGTATTGCAGAGAAAAAGAAGGCCAAAGACAAGAAGAGGAAAAAGGCAAGTACCTCCTCCTCTGAGACGACAAGTTCGTCTTCTGGGACTTCCTCCTCCTCTAGCTGCTCTTCAGATGATTCGAGTGACAGTGAATCCAAACTGAAAAAGAGGAGACACAGCAAGAAGAAACGAACAAAACAGAAAGACAAAAAGAGAAAGAAGAAAAAAATAAAAAAGAAACTGAAAAAGAAATCGAAGGACCGGCCTAAAGAGGAGAGAGCCATGGTGGAAGGCGTGCCAGGCCCTTCACTGGAGCAGTGGCAGAAAGAATCTTTGGTGGAACCTGGCCCAGGTAATGTTCTTGTTTCCAGGTTTAAAAAACTCACACTTGCCCACTTAAAGAGTAGAGAAGTGATGCGCCATTTGAGAAAATCCATGCGACTCTCCTACTCATTAATGAAACAGATTCTTTTAATGTCTCATCCAAGGATCATTAGAAATTGCATGATAAGAAACACTGATTGCTGAACCCTGGGTGCCTTTTCCCTCCTAATTTCAGTGGCCTAGCTTGAGCAACCATGAATATATACAAGGACCCAAATTGATGGTTTTGTTTGTAAGCTTGTTAAAATTGCCTGTGATCTGGGAACAAAAGTTGAAAATGAAAGGATGGACCCACAGGCAATGAATTCATGAAGCACTTGGTATTGGCATTCAGGATGTGAAGCTGATAGTTCTCTGCATGTTCCTTTGCTCACAAAGGTGATATGTAAAGCCATGAGGAAGATAACACTACATTTGTGTTCATTCTTTATCTGTTGAGACTAGGTCCTCTATACAGTATCCACCACTGATTTAAGGTGCCCCCAGATCTTCCAGTGTATCTCATGGGTGAGCAGAGAGTGCAAGAAATACACAACCAGGGGACAAATTTTCAAAAAGTGCCCAAGTCTCACTGAAAATCAGTGGGACTTCAGATACCTCAGTCACTTGGGTGTGTTGGGAAATTTACCTCAGGCCTCAAATTTGAAATTTAAGGTCTATATGCTCTTTGAGTTTGTGACAGTAAGAAAAGCAGGTGAGGCTTTGATCCCTGAGTTGCAGACATACACAAATCCCTGTTTCAGTTCTTCTCAGGATCTATGATTTTTTTGGAAAGATCTTGTTCATGTCAAACTGTTATTTATCCATTCTTTGTGTGTTGTCTAAGCAGTAGGGGTTATAGTACGTGGTGTATGCTAGTGATGAAAGAGGATTGGTTTTAACAATAGGTAGTAATTCAGTTTTAATACGTGTGTAATTATATACATAAGGCAGGCCAGGTAGTCTCAGTCCCAGCAGCAGGCCAGGTGGCAAATGGATCTACACAGAGGAATTGTAATGGAGCCATTGTGGGGGAAGGTGCCAACTTATGAAGGTTTGCTGATAAGGGAGGAATCCAAAATCACCTGCTTTGGATAAATGCATTTTGTCCAGCCTTCCCCAGGGATTTCCCCTCTTCTGTCTTAAAGATATTTACAAAGTATCTAAATCCTTCTTACTGTTAAAGGGAAAGAGAGAGGATGAGGGGGGTAAATAAGGAGGTAAATAGAATTTGAAAGGAAAATGTTCCAAGCAGACAGGTGTAGGGTTAAATGTCTGTAGTGTAACAAAGGAGTGGGACTCAGGATGCCTGGGTTCTAGTCCCATCTCTGCATTTGGACGAGTGGTGAGATTTTCAGAAGTACTCAGCATTGGCCTAACTCTGCTCCCATTTAAATCAATGGGAATTTTATCACTGACAAAAACGGGAGGCGTGTCAGGTTAATGCTGAGTGCTTCTAAAAATCTCACCCAATGTGGCTTTGGGAAAATCACTTAGCTGTTCTGTGGGCCTCAGTTCACCTGTTAGAAACAGAGCTAGCAATATCCTCCTCAGAGGAGCAGCGTGAGGCTTCAATAGTTCAAGCTTTTTGGGGTAGGTGGCTCTTTGGAACGAGTGTTTTCAGCAGTGCACTGCACAGAGCGGTGCTCCATAATAATTGTAAGGCCCTCTGCCTCATGGTCCTCTGACAGAAGACTAACCTGTGTGCGCACATTCTTATTCAACGAGCTCATTAAGGTTTGCATTCTAGTTTTGACAGATGAGCAAAAGTCCCGCATCCAGGCTATGAAACCAATGACGAAAGAAGAATGGGACGCAAGGCAAAGTGTCATCAGAAAAGTCGTGGACCCCGAAACGGGAAGAACAAGGTACAGTCCCATGGGTTAAAGAGGGTCCTGAAACAATAGCTTAGAAACAGTGCTGTTTGGGAGCATTTGGAGAGGCATGGTTTCCATGGTTACAAGAATTCTAGGGACCAGATCCTCAGCTGACGCACATAAGCATAGCGCTGTTAAAGTCTAGAGAGCTAGTTGACTTATACCAGCTGAGATGTAAGTGTCGTAGATAATGTTGAGATAAATAATCATAGTTAGTTCAGCATATCCACAAAGGAGCATATTTTAGGATGTATCACTTGGACTGCAATAGTGCCCAAAATGTGGTAGGTGCCGTACACTCACATAGGAAGACACGGTCCCCGAAGAGCTTACAATCCGCAAAGCTTCTGAACAGTGGACAAGAATCCACTTCTTATTTTTAAACCAGGGAAACAAGTTGGCGAGCAGTGTATGAGGCTGGCTGAAGAGTGGAGAGAGATGGGGCAGCTGAATCTTTTTAGGCTTTTCCAAAGAGAGGCAGAAGCATATGCCAGTTTAGCAACAGATCCTTGCTGCTTGTAAAAGCAGGGTTCTCTCTAAATCCCTTTTAACCTCCCCTCCAGGGGCGGTCACTCTCAGCAGCAAGCTCTTGAGCCTTCATTGTTACCTTGCTGTTACTAGCCAGGCTCTTAGTAGGAAAGGTGAACACTGTGACCCATCAGGCCATCTTGAGATTAAAGCTTTCCGGCCCAGACAATAAAGGTATAAATCACTCTGGTCTCTGCTTGACTAGCAGAGATGCTTAGATCAGAGTACTAGGATTGACAGAGGGATGGAGAAAAAGGCTTGCTGTGTTTAGACAGACAGGCTGAGACTATTATTGTTAGAAGATGCCAAGTAAGGGTCTGATCCTGCCAGGTGCTAAGCACCTCCTCTGTAGTGCTGAATGCTCTCTCTTGCTACTGAAATCAATGGGATTACAGAGCATGGACAGCCTCCCAGAGCTGAGTCATTGATGGCTTGTGCTCAGTATGAGGTGCAGAAGGCAGCCAAGAGCAGCAGCTATTGCAAGATCTGGTTGAAGCCTTGTTACTCAGGGTGGAGGGTTTTTTCCTCCTTCCACTGAGGGGGATATCAGTGTCCCCAGAGTAAATGCAATTCTAAGCTATGGTGTGGGGATAAAATCTGAACCGGCAGATCTGGTGGCAGTTCTGAGCTAGCTGTTTCCTGACCTATTAGACATTGCTCTTTCAGTGGCAGCTGCTGTTTTGGATGCTTGCCTGTCACGTCTGAAGCATCCAGTCCCTATTATAGACAGATCCTCTGGCCAGAGGGGTTTATTTACACAACCGGGGGCAATTGCTTCTCTGTTCTAGGAGGCCCACAGGCCTGTAACCAAACTAGTGTTCAAAACCAGAGGAGTAGAAATGACCCTGTTTTCACTAAACTGCATCTTTACAGTGAATAGAAAATTGTGTTGTGGCAAGCCAGCTCTTAAAATAGAAGGCAGCCAGCAATGCTCAGGAAAGATGTTTGAATGGATGTCAGTTACCCGTAAGGCACATGCTGAAGACGGTTAAATTCCTCTTCTGCATTCAGAGGCTGGACACTGCCTATGGTTCTGCTGCTGGATTTGCTGGTTTGATACCACTCCCCTTCCCTAGCCCCACTGGGTCCTTTCCAGTTCTATTACCAAAGGTCAAATGCTTGTCTGATTACTAGATGATCCAGCAACTTTTATGTGCCCCAAGGGACTGGACTTAAACCTCTGCATTGCCCCATCTCAATCATAAAGGAAGCTGTCTGCACATCTTAAATTTGAGAGTGGGAACCAACCAACCCAGTTTCCCATTGCCGAGAAAATCCACTCGCAGAGTTATAGGGTAATGGGAGAGCCTTTTTCCTTAGCATGGGTCTTCCCTGCAGCACACTAGCCTGGAAAGCTTGATTTGCAACATGCCTGATCTCTAGGGAATGCTCTGTGGGGCTGGGGATTGCCTAAATCATGGCAGATCCTACATCCTGGGAATGCTGGGAGAGGAAGGTTGTTCCCAATACATTCAGTACACAGCATCTTTCGAAGAAGTGCACTGAAGCGGGACCTTGTTGGTTTTAATCCTGCAGGCAGCATAATGGAAAAGGCTGCAAAGGTTATTTACCCGAGGGTTGGCTAAAGCCTGACTCACGGTGTTCTATAATGGAGCTGCCCTCATCTTTAAACAGAGACTACAGAGTTACACCAGTCAGTGGAGTTGCTCCAGGTTTACACCAGATTGTCAGAGCAGCATCTGGCCCAAGCCCCAGCATATGATGAGAACTTTTTGCCACTCTCTTTGGCACTGCAAAGCTGCCACCCTCCCAGAGAGTGTGGGGGACACCGTGCTGCAGCCAGCCTGTGTTGGCAGAGGCCCCTGACTCTGTTCTAGAGCACATGCTCACACAGAAGGTGCTTCTGGTGTTACCCCTCAACAAGTCCAGCTTGTTGGACATCTTCCCATGCAAAATACTGTCTCCCTCAGCATGAAACATTAGCCGTGTGGCTGCGTAAGAGAGGTGATCTAGTCACTCCTCCAGTGGGGACAGAACCCTCATTGAATGATGCCTTCTGCTGCTGGGGAAACAAAGCAATGTGTTGCTTACAGTTGGTAACTGGATGGCTGGTAGACTTTACTGTGTGTGTTGATGTGCTTCTGTTACAGGCTTATTAAGGGAGATGGAGAAGTACTAGAAGAAATTGTCACCAAAGAAAGACACAAAGAGATTAACAAGGTAGATGGTTTTTATAGTGAAGAGACATTCTGGAACCAGCAAGGCCCTAAGCTGGGTTTGTAAAGCATGGGCTAGTGGCTTGAACACAGGCCTGGGGGGCAGGAGAGCTGAGTTTTGCTTACTCACTGCATGGCCTTGTGGAAACTGCAGCCTCTCTCTTGGCTTTTCCCATCTGCAAAACTGGGATAAATCCTACTTAGCCAGGGTGGAAGTGGGTTTGATCACACACATTGGTAGAGGCCTTTCAGCCTCTCACAGGTAGGTGGTATGGAAGCACCAAGCAGATGGTTTGGGAAGACTAGCCTATAAGTGCCTGTTTGTTCCTTCACAGCAAGCCACCCGAGGAGACGGCCTGGCCTTCCAGATGAGGACAGGGATGCTTCAGTAACAGTCTAAATGTCAAGTACATCAGGAAAGGTGGTTTTCTTGTTCTGCTCACTGAGACACTATTCTGCCAAAGCAGGCAGCTCCCCATTCTCCCTGCACTGGCGAGATCTGTGTGTGACACAGCAGGATCTTTACCCTGTGGACATGTCCTGTTCTGCTGGGTCCATCTATTGCCTGGAGGAGGGAGTGACTTTGATGGCACCTCCCCTTTAGCCATGGCTTCTCTCCTGCCAGTCCATGCAAAGTCTTTAAGACCTGACCAACATTGCTCTCAACTTGGTCGCTTTCTGAGGCTCCTCCCACTACTGCTCAATGATTGAGCAAATGATTCTTAGGCAGCAAGTAGCTGTCAGTCCACCAGGGCGCTCATGGGTGCCACCAGCACAACAATGCTGAGTCCCCAGAGGAGATAAACTCACCCAGTGACTAACACCATGTTATCTTTAATACACTTCCTTGATGGTGATTCAGATTCCAAACTCTAAGGCAAATGCCCAGGTACCAGGTGGCCATAACCCCGCTGATACTGGGGTGACTGCCACAGTGATCCCCTGAAATGAGGGTGCCGTAAATCATTTTTCACATGTGGTTGCTACGTGCCTGCTCTTTGAATTAATATTTGCCCTGTGTTTACTCCAGTGTTTGGTTGGATTGCTCAGTTACAGAGGGGTCCCTTTACAGCCCTCAGCTGTACAGAGACCCATTTATACTTTGCCCCAGCTTTGTGCAGGCTGCAACATTAGGTCCAGCATTAGGTCCACATCTTGCAAGGTGCCTTTTCTCACTGAGCCAATGAGAGGTGAAGGCACTTGGCATGGTACAGGTTCAAGCTTTAAATTAGCACTGGCTCCCTTGACGGCAGGCTGCACTGGGACAGTGGGTTAAGTGTAATGGACAGGGGCACATTTTGTTGGGGGTTTGCTCAGCCTTGCTCATATCCCTGCACCAAAGTGATGCCCCTTCCTTGCTCTTTATGACAATGCAAGGGGCAGTTTTGGTTTGTTAGTGAAATTGGCCTTTTCAGAAGCAGAGGAGCCCAGGAAAACTCAGTCTTCTGATTCTCCCCCCTCAAGCCCCACTTAACTTGGTGAATCTGAAAACTTGTAAAAAATAAACTGGTTAAATCAATCCAGCAGCCCAAGTTATTCTTTTATGTGCCAGTGTGAATGAACGACAGGTAGCAATTATACAAACCAATCTGTTGCAAGGGGACAGGCAAGATTTTTGTGTGTTTGCGTGGGCGTGCTCAATTGTTTTGGCTAACACCCGAAGCTTTAAAATGAATGCTTGCCCCGTCCTCTGCACCCAGTGGCTTGCTAAGGAAATCACAGTAGGTCAGATTTTTGACCTTATGCTACCACAGCTGAGCAGCTACAGCTAGCAAAGTGCAAGACCTAGAAAGCCCAAAGTGCGATCAGTATGACACTGACTCCCCCTAGAGATGCCTGCTTACTTTGGTGACGTAGTAGTTTCCTTGGTCCCTTTACTCCACTCTATTTAACAGATCCCACCGCAGACTTCTTTGGTTACTTGGGTCTGATGGCTGTTGGTGGAAAGTCCTGTTCTGAACTGTAAAATCACTGCCTGTTTAAAAAAATTTGTCCTTCTGTATGATTTGAACTAGTTTTCATGTGCCACTTTTCTAACCTCTTAGAAGGCCCTGAGGTGTTTTTGACTGTGGGAGGCTGGTCACGTATGTATGGATTCATCCTGTCTGCTGGCAGGTCTCCTATCAACGTATCTTCCTTTTCCCTTTAATGCAGGCCTCCTCCTCTAGTAGCTGGGTTTTAGGCACATGGGTCAGATGGAGACAACACACTTCCCTTTTATAAAGGAGCTAGTTATGGCACAAACCTCCCTGGGACCATACGTTTAACAAGGACACTGACAGCAGCCAGGATGAGAGGGGGACAAGCTGTGGACAAACAGGTAGGTGTCTGAGTAGGGCTGAGCCAGGCGAATCTCTGCCCTTACTGAACAGTAGAGGAAAGGGCCTGCTTGAGAGGGTGCAGCTTGCTTGAGAGGGTGCAGCTCCCTTGAGCCTCCCCCTTTGGAAGGGTCCGTGTAAGGCAGCAGCGCTGACAGCCCCTGAGCTAGCCAGACTTAGGCTTTACGGATTGTGCATTTATTGGCAGCCAGTTCAAAGGGAAGCTCCCACATGCTGTTGGGTGGCTCCCTGTTCTCCACTCTCACGCTCTGCTGTTGTTGATTCACTTACTGTCCCCCATCATTTCACTCTCTCACTGGCTGTAGAACATCATCTTCAATTCAGAGCACACAGTGCTTGTAATTGTCTCTCTCTTTTCCGTTTGGTTTCCATTTGCCTCATGACAATGTTTTCAGCCCCTCTATTTTTCTGCTCAGCAGTTCACATCTTTGCCATCTTTTTCTTTGGCATCTAATTCCATTGGACACTTTCATTAAACTGGATCATTTTCAGTTCCCAATTCCTAGCTTTTGTGATGCATTAACTGTCAGTTTGTAAGTCACCAAAAGAAGCAGACACAGAATGTAGCCTTCCCATTTCTTTAATCTGTGTAATGTACAAAGTTACTGTACACAAAGCACACCCAGGCATTAGAGCAATGCACTAACAGCAAGGAGGAGAAGGAAGTTGTACAGTAGTTATGGTTTGTTACATACAAGCAAATAGATCTTAACAGTATTTTACACACACAACATAATACACAAAATGAAAACCAGGAAGAGGCAGACTCAGATCTAAATCTCATTCCCTGGTGGGGTGCAGGTGTGTCTGTCAAATTAAGCCATGACATAGTTTTCCCCCCCATCTGTATCCCTAAAAGATTTTTTTTATAAATAAAATAGAACATTATTGAATATAAAATTGACGGTCAAGGATATCGATATCCAGGGTTTTCATACAAGGGGAGGGAGAAAAATGTAAGGCTTCTAGAACTAATAGGAAAATGCAGCAAAGGTGAAGATACCTGAAGAGCAGGGGTACTACAAGAAGTGCAGGTTGCTTGTGGGAAGAGCAGGTTGTTCGTAACCCTTTGGTTAGCTATTGGTTTTCATTTAACATATCTTCTAACACTATACACGTTCTTTTTGGTAGTAAAATTTTTCCTTTTTAATGATTTATCAAAAGAAGAAAACAAGGAATTAAAGTGACAGTTTGGATTTAAAAAAAAAGTGGAAAGGGACAGGGTCAGGTTTCTGTCCCAACGTTCAGATTATAGAAAAGCTGCTTTTTAGGAAAAAAAATCCACAGAAATGTTTCCTCGAATGTTTAATTCCAGTGGAAACAGATGTTGTTTTTTAAAAACCCAATAAATAAATATCTCTGTTCAGTGCTTACAATATAAACATTGCAGTTTTGTGCTGAGTGCATGAGAACCAGGAAGTGATAGTTACCAGAACCAACTAGTCTGTTTTCCTTGGCCTAATCTGATGAATGCAAAAAGGAACTAACCAGCATAACAGTGAAAAGTATAATAAACTTTTAATATTCCTTCTGTTTTAAACAACACAGAACTGTTATTTGTAACAAAGGTAAATAAGGTCTTTAACCTGACAGTGCCCCTTTAATAAGAATGGAAAATACATTCAGCTTTCCCTAACTGTATCCCAATGGAGCCTCTTTTGTGCATTTAGAAAGACATTTTGTTTCACATGCATCACTCCCTAGAACATTTCAGAGCAGTTTATAAACACAAAAGTTAAACTATTGCTATTGCTTTTAGAATGACAGAGTAATATACTGATCTTTGCTTCAGATAGACAATAATAAGACAGGGATGTATGAGAAGATAGATTCACGGGGAACTATAGTGTACTTGTATGGGTGAAAAAAACCTATCCGCATATGTCATGTTAATACATGGCCACATTGTCTGATATTATTGCAGTGATGAACAAAGATTCTGCACTACGATTGTTTCTCTGTATGGATTCTTACAATGGAAACAGATGGGGGAGAGGTTGAAAAATTCAAGAAGCTCAACAAAGGGTCAGAACACAGGTGCTACGATTGTCAGTCTCACTGATTATTATTGGTTTAAAATATGGAGTGATGGAGAGGTGATTATAATATTGCACTTCTGCGGTCATTGACAGTTACATTAAACTTGGTCCATAAAATAATTGCTTTGTACATAATGCCTGAAACAAAAAAAAGCTACATTTTAATATTAATAATCTCTGAAGGTTCTGTTGCCTCCGGACACTTTTTCTCTACACAAAATAAATAACTTTCACTTTGTATATACCCACTTTTGTTTTTTTAACATTTACATTATCCTCAGTTTTACACTATCTACACACAAGAAAATGTTAACAGCTCATCTGCATTTTGAAAAAAAAGTACATGTCATGCCTTGGTTTGTGGACTCTTCTTTCAGAGTAAGATTGAACTTTGTAAAGGCCATATCCAAATTTGCAAATACGCTTTGTGATCATGGTTTGGTTACTTTACAGAATGGACTGCGGCTTGCTTCTAAGTCAGATGGCAACAGTTTGGTACAATATTCAACTAGCAAAAAGCTATGACACAATTCACATTTTTAGCCAGTAGCTTTGGATATACATTCAAGGTAACTAGGCTGAGTCAGCAGAAAGGGAAGTAATTTTTTCAGTAGTAAAAATCTGTACGGATGTTCTGTAATATAATTATCAAAGATGAATGGCGTAGTAGTTTGCAATGAGGCTAAGAGTAAATGAGATGCACTGTGTTTGCGGGTGGATCTATTAAAGCTCCATCAACATGGACATTCTCAGTAGTTAAACACTGTCCTCTTTAGATCACTGTAGGGATAGAGCACACATTCTAAGTTCGTTTTGAAACTTGAGGTCTAAGCCGTAGTCATGAAATAGATTTTTGATGTCTGGATGAGTGACGTGTTTGCCTGCTGCAGCTCTGAGCCAGGTAGCAGAGCAGAGCTCACAGTGCTTTGCGTCTCGGTGCAGAGGTGCTACACTTCGTACTGAAACCGTTAATAAAATGAAGCAGTCTAAAAAATCGATTATAAATAAGATCCTTGTAAGTAGAAAGTGATATAAACATAGTATATTGTGGTGGAGGAAAGCAGGACAATACTTAGCCAATGAATGTGCTATGAATATAAAATCTTCATGTGAAATAGGCAGGTGGGAGCCCCAAATATCCACCCAGTTTGGATATTTCCCATACCCAAGTTGGTGTGTGCAAGCAGAAAACTGCGCCCTTCACTGAGGCTGAAAATTCAGAATCCTGGCTAGTTTGACCTGGGAGGGGGGCAGGGCTAAGGGGCTTTCAGGCAACCCCTCTGTTCTAGGCACTGTTCTCCTCTGCTCCTCGTTAAATTATGTCCTTCACCTTTGAATACCTTGTGGCTTACAATCTCCTTGTCGCTAGCAAGCAGCAGAGCACATTATCCTGCAGACTGGAAATGTCACCTCTGCAATGCTCCCAGACCCTTGCATGCCCAGTGCAAGAGAGAGATTCAGGTCATGGCAGCGCATTAAACCATCAGCTCAGACACATCGACTGAAAGAGAGGCTAGGAAAATTAAGATATGGCCTTTTCTTAAGCTTGCACAACTTAGTTGGCACACTTCCTTACAGTCTCCTTACTGTTGAAAAACTTTTGCACAAATCTATCTATATATATATATATACACACACACACACACACATATATATATATATATATATATACACACACCCCCACCCACCCTGGCTTAGAAATATTTAATTGTCATGCACTACAAACAGTTAGGTGTAGCTACATGAGATGGTAACAGGTCTCCATTCTAAAAATTATCAGTGCAAAAACAATGAGGTTTTACAGTTGAATAACTACAGTTAAAAAAAGCAAGTCTAATTCCCGTGAAAGCTGTTACTGATATTGGAGAGAACCTGGGAAGAAGAAATGTCTCTGAGTGGGGGATAGTGGTGAAATATTTGGACCCTGCATTTTGATGACAAGAAATGCAGTGCAATCTAGCTGTTGAGTACTTTCAGACACTTGCAAATATATGGTGGTTAGTTTCTGAAATAATATACAGCAATAATACTTGGAGAACTATACAGTAAAGTAAGTGGCTGATGTTGTTAACAGCTAAAACAAAACTCCTTGTTTTTTTGAATAGCTTAATACATTAAATTCCATCACCTTTCAAAATGTTTAAAGCAAAACCAAAAAACTAATGACCCCACTTTCTAGAGCATCAATCTGCTGACATACGGCTCCTATCAACAGCAGTTGATACTTCATTAATGCTTTGCTGATATACATCCTCCTGGGTACAAAGTGGATAAATTCTAAGCTCTCTGCACATGTAAAACACTTGATTGCTTCACCCAGTGCAGCAGAAGCCTCTCATTTCAGCCTCTCTGCACCTTGGAAATGACATGCTTAGTTTAAAAACACAAAAAAGTGCTGGTATCCAGCAGTCTCTCTCAGTCTGGCTAATGGAACAACCCAAGTGAAAGGTCTAACCAGACTTCTTCCCCTTCCACCACATGGCACTGAGGATCACACTCAGTCACGTGTATCTGATTGATGGCTAAGAAGGTGAGGGAGGCACATATTTACAGTCACTAAACCTGGATAAGAAAAGGAGGCAGAGGAGAGCATGGTCTTGATCTGGAAACTGTTTGTTTTCCCCCTTGGTTCCCTAATTTCAAATGGTTTTTCGGGCTAGTGCTCTGCAAACCCAACACGCCATTTTAAGGCCTGCAAATTCCATGTGGAAAATACACCAGCCTTTCCTCCTAGCATACCATGTTGTTGTTAGAGAGTAGCACCATATTTACCCTTCCATCTCACACTGCTGGCCTTGTCCTTTATTCCTTCTGTTTCCTCCTCCGGCGGCTGTGGCCGACTGTCACTGGCTCCTGGCTGGCTCTACTTCTGACCTGAAGTGCCAGAGTCCAGTTTTGAGGCTGCGCTCCGGCCCCAGCACCCAGTGGCAATGCTCATGCTC